CGGCGGACGCATATGCCGCACAAGCACGCACCAACACGCGCGCATCCCGCGGTCCGAGAGCACGCACGCAACTCGCCGCCGCGCTGCGCCGCGTCGACCGAACTTGCCAAGAGAGCCCCGTCGCCGTCGTCCGATGCACACGCGCGCACGCATACACGATCGCGCGCGTGCACGCGAGAGAGTGCGAAATAACGCGAGGTGATGGCAGAGGACAAAGGCTCCGCGCGACGTGGGTACTAGGAGCTAGACGGGAATCCGTGAGCGCGGGACCGAGAGGGGAAACGAGGGGGAACACAGGCAGACAGGCGGCGGCGGTCGCGATGGGAAGAGGAGACGGTCGTGGGGGCTCCTTCTCCCTCGGATCAGGCAGCGTCCAAAGGGGGAAATCGGTAGATAGGAGACGAGGGGGAGCGCGCGAACGCGAGAGAGCGAACGAATGAACGAACCCGCGGGTTCCTCGCCTCGTTCGCTTTATACGTCACACGCGGCGGCCGTTCGGTGTGAGTCACGCATCGCGGGCTTCCTGCTGCTAGGGCCTGAAGTCTGCTGCACGCCCGCGCCTCAACTCTCTTGTTTCCCTGCGTTTGTTTCGTTTCGCGTCGAAAGTCCTCTTTTGTCCCAGTGTTTTCTTCTGATCCTTTAGGTCTCTTTTGTCTTGATTCCAAACGGCGAACAAACATTTAGTGAAAATCTTTCCTCGACTGAAAAGTATTTGTGTGATTGACAGTAGTTTGACCATCATCAATAAACCCTATTGACTTTTATTCTTTTTTCAAAGTATAGATTTATTAAATAAAATTTTATACTTACGGTCTGTACGTTACTTAGAATAATGGTCATAATAAATAGATGGTCAAACTATTGTCGAGGAAAGATTTTCACTAAAAGTTGCGAAAATCCTTTTGTTCCATGGATATAAAATCAAAAAAGAGATAAAATAGAATAGATTCAAGGCAAGATTTTTGAAAGCAATCTTTTATTGTCAACCAAAGAATGGTGTCAATGAAATGAAAGTCATTTTTAATAATGATTTATTAGACTCTTTTAAACTTTTTTGTTTGCATATTATTCACTTGAAAGTTGTGGGTGTTCTCAAACGACGATTGAACACGACACGATATAGTTGAGAATATGTATACGTTTCACGGATATCGAATCGTTTGTTATCGTTGTTTTCGAGAAACTACGGTATAATTTGTCTCTCGTCGGATCGATCGCTGGCAGTTTGCGCGAATTAGTCCAATCGTGACAACCAAGTTCCCGTCTCTGCTTCCGCCGCGCCGCGGATGTCGACGACCTCTTTTGTTGCATCTGCTCGCGGCATGTGTTTCGCGGCTCGCCGCGCCGCGCCGTCGCGAGCGATAATGTTTCGCGCTTCCCGCTGCGATTCGCGTAAAATATTCGGCGTGTCACGTCCTCGCGTCGGCTATTTTAACAAGCTGTACGATTCGAATAATAACGGTCGGTTATAGCTCGTCTGCGAGATTAATAAACGCGCTCGCATGGAATCAATCCTTAATTTAAGGTCCAACGCGCGGTACTTGGTGCCTTTGTACATAAAGCAAAGTTCAAATCGATGCCGCGTGCGACCCCTTGGGGTTATAGTCTTCGATATTAATTGGCACATGGCGGCCGTGCGAGAGCGCGTTAGCACACGACGTAAAATATCGCGAGGCGAATTCCATTTCGACGATCCATCGTTGCGATAGCCTTCGCGGAGGAACGTGAAATATTACTGAAAACGTCGATCGCCGTCCGTTCTCTCGCCCCGTCCAAGATCCACATTGCACACAACGGCCGCGCATGCTTCCTTCCCTTTTCGATAATTACCGCGCACTCGATAATCCGATCCGCGGCATCGCTTTATTACTTTACCAATAAGCAACCGATATTCGTGCCATCCGAATTCCCGATAAAATTCCTCGCGAGCTATATATGTGTAATAACATAATACGCGCGCGTTACGCGGGAACCGGTAGCGGCGGTGGCCGTCTCTATTCCCAGATACGCAAGAAATTAATGCGCAAACGGCCGTCGCGCACCACTCGTATTCTCCCTCGTTCTCGTTCCCTGCGCGTGCATCGATCAAACACGCACGATCCGTGCGTAAAACCGTGCGAGAGCTCGAATAAGGGGCATCCGCGATACTTTCCTACTATTCGCAGCATCGATTCTTAACTGTCGATACCGAGCATATTCGTGATTGTTCTTTATTTTTCATCCTTTCTATGATGTCGGCATGTTACGTATGTAACAGCGTTCGGCGCTACATGTCGAATGTAAAGACAATAAAATAATACATACAATATTATATGTAAAATCGAGGTCTATATATAACGAGTCAAACGCTAGTTCTTACATGCTAATAATTAAAACTTTTAATAATAAATTAAATATAAATCATAAACAAACGTTTCGACCTATTATTAAGTCATTTTCAATATATGTTAAACAATATTATAATACATATCATTAAACAATATTAAAGTTATCAATACAATTTAGAGGTCAATATATAAAATGGATTTTTTTTAACGGAAAATTTCACGAACAGCAGAATAAACCGATGGTACAATACTTGACTATGCATGTTCAGGATTGTCACAAATTAGGGAAATCAAGGAAGTCATGGAAAAGTCAGGGAATTTGAAAATGGTCAGAGAAGTCACACATAGAAAAGTCAGGGATTCAAAATTTTCTGGAAAAATAAAATGACTAAAGAAGTTTAAAATATGCGTACATCACAGCAATTTTAGTTACACACCCTCATGTGCTCTTATGGCTTGCACTACTTGATAACGCGTGGTGGAGAGAAGAGTAGTCTTTATAATAGCAGATTGAAATTTTAATAAACAGGATTTAGTTTTGATAAAAAAAGAAACTGTATTCATTGATTTATGTTCCTTATATTCTCCTCTCATTCTCTTGCTGCTGTTTATTAGCAATAAATTTATTGCTAATAAACAGCAGCAAAGAGAAAGAGAGGAAGAGGAAAAGAATCGTGTTCATACATAAAAGGAAGACAAAAAATACTAACTTGACAAAACTACTAACTTGACAATTAAATGCAGTGTCAGAAACATTAATAGTAATGTACACTGTTATGTTAAATTGTTTTATTAACAAAATATTTAACGATTTTCAAGTCAGGATGAAAATACAAAAAAAATTTTTAAATATATATTGCTGAAAATCAGGGAAAATCAGAAAATTTTATCTGGAAATCAGGGAAATGTCAGGGAATTTTGTGACGAAAAATTTGTGGCAACTTTGATGTTGTAATTTTGTTATTCTTCTAGTTAGAATATAATATTCTTAAAATAAAAGTTTTAATATTAAGTACGTAATGCCTACGCGGTTTAAAATTGAAACGTCTGCGTAGCTGAACTGATTGTATTGTTCATCTTTTGCGAATAATGTATTTCGGCAACGATTACTGATATTCCGGCATTAATAACTGCTACGGTTCATATAGGCAATTTTAATTAGTTCGTAATTTATTCTTAAAACAAAAAAAATAAATTTATACGTTTACCCGTAAAAGTTATAATATTTCTTAATAGCACAGGAATGTCCTGTTCTATTAAGAGTGGTTTAGATTGTTTTAGATTGTTCTAGAATGTTCTAAGAGCCAAACGAGACATTTTGAAGATTGTTATAGAGCACCCGAGATTCGTTCAGGATGTTCCGAGGACTGTCAAATCAAGCATTATTTATCTCAAATTGGCGATATTCTTACGTTACGCACAATATGAGTAGTTTTTGAGAAACTTATTATCAATTGATACATTGATACATTGTAAACCTCCTCGAATTATCAAAAATGATACCTGAGTATTACGCAATATTATATTAATTGATAAAAAAAACTCCAAGTATACCGGACGAACGCGTATCAGTATCTGATAAAGTTTGAACGTCGCTGGACGCGTCCAGCGGTGAGATATACTTTTGCGAAAGTATGCCGTCGAATATTAGGTTCACGCGAATGAATTATAACGGTTCGGCTCGCTCGCTCTCCGCTACCGTCGCTGTCGTTCGAGCGCGACATATCCGGAGCGAGAGAGAAACGACGGAACGAAGCGAGTACAACCCGCGGGGCCCACACCGTATCTCCCCCGCCTTTGTGTGACCGTTGTATGCGTACGAAGGCAAAAGAGAAAAAGAAGGAGAGGAAGAGAGAAGCCGCGTATCTGGGCCCTCGAGCCAGACGATCGACGATCGCCGTGGCATGCGGGTCCCGCCGGTCCCGCGACCAAGATCACGAGAGGTGTCGCATGCACGCCGGTGCTGACCAGCTGCCGTTCTCACCGAACGAGCGCTCACGGTGTCGTCATTATCGTCACGGCGTGGCCGTTGTACTCATCCTCATCCTCATCATCATCATCATCATCATCATATTCGCATATCGTTATAGAGTCATCATAGTCTTCGTCATCATCGCTGCTACCTTCATCATTTTCATCATTGTCTCTCTACTATCGCTGTTGTATCTCGTAATCGTCATCGTCATATATTCGCAGTTATTATATAAGCGTCACAATTATCATAATCTTCCCATCGTCATCATCGATATCGTTACTTCTTTCATCATCCTTATTAACATGCCCGCTGCCGTTTCGCTGTCGTCGCTCGTCGTCATCGTCGCCGCCGTCGCTCGTTTGTGCCTCTTCCCTGTCGTCTCGGTCGGGCGCGGATGCGCGCGGCAACGTCGCCGTGTCAGGAAACGCTGCTTGGGTATAGGTTATCGCGCGCGGCGGTGGCTTCGGCAGAGCGCGCACGTACACATGGTACACGGACGTGCCGGGCTAATGCACACACAGACATAGCCAACGGCGCATCGGGACGTGTACGTGTACTTGGGCCTGCCACGATCCCTCGGGATTTGCCTGCCTCTCCTCGGCACGTACGTGCTCAGGCCAGACCAACGTAGCCTGAACGATCGGCAGGCAGGCAGGCGGGCGGG